CAAGTTGAGGATGTCCCAGGTGGCTCCGCGGGGGAAGAACCGCTTCATGTTTATGGCCCATTGATAGTCGCTCCAGCGCTCCTTCCAGGCCTGCAGGATGGCCTGCTTCAGGTTCACCACCTTCATGGTCACCCCGCGGCCCGACAGCTCAAGGCGAAGGGGGACGGAGCCCTGACCCGGCCGGGCAGGGCCGGACAGAGCGGGGAAGCGGCCCAGCGGCTTCGGAGGGCAGCAGCTGGGGGTCTGCCCGCTCCCCGGCCCTGAGGAGCCCCTCGGAGCAGCCCCGGAACCCCTCGGAGCCCCCGAAGTTCGGTGCCCGGGGGTCCCGCCGGGTCCCGCCGCCCCTCAGCGCGGCCCGGCGCCGCCCTCAGCGCTTGGGCACCGCCATTGCGGCGCCTGCCAACAAGCCGCACGCTGATTGGGCGGCGGGGCGCGGCGGGCGCAGGGGGTGATGGGAGTGGTAGTTCGGGGGGCTAGGGCGGGCGGGGGCGGGAGTGAGTGTGCAAAGGGTGGGTGGGAACGGGGGGCGAGTGTGCAAACGCCGAGGTGAGAGTGCAAACACCGTGTGGGTGAGCAAACGGGGGAGGGTGGGCTAACACGGGGTGTGTGTGTGGAAACATGGGGTGAGTGTGAAAATCGGGAAATGGGATTTGACATGCAAACACCAGAGGTGAGTGTGCAAATAGGGTGTGTGTGCAAACACGGGGTGAGAATGGGGGGTTGAAAACACGGGAGTGGGCAAATAGGGGCGGGTGTGCAAATAGCAGGGGTGTGGAAAGGTGGGGGGGTACAAACACGGGGGGAAGGATACGTGTGAAAATGAGGAGTTGTGCAAAGACAGGGTGAGTGTAAGAACAGGGGATGTACAAACGGGGTAAGTGTAAGAACAGGGGATGTACAAACGGGGTAAGTGTAAAAACAAGGGATGTGCAAAAATGGTGCAAAGGCGTGAGTGTGCAAAGGCTCTGGGGTGGCAGCACGGATCTCCCAGCATGTTTCTCTGTGCGTTTGTGCAGGTGTGCACACAGGACAGTGTGTGTGCACGTGTGTACACACAGATGTACAGATGTTCACACACGCACACACATGAGCACAGGTGTGCACACCAGTGTGTGAGCACAGAGGTGTGCCCGCGTGCGTGTGCAACCACAGGCGTGCACTGAGGACTGCGTGTGACACAGGCGGGTGTGTTCACACGTGTGGATGCACATGAGTGTGTGCGGTGTGTGTCTGTGTGTGTTGTTGCACACACGCGCAGACACCAGCACCCCCGGGCGGGTGTGCACGCACAGGTACCAGCGCAGGGGTGGGCACACACGCGTGTGCAAGGCCGTGTGCTGCAGACACGTGTGTGCACACACGTGGCGCCGCCATGGGCCTGGGCTGCCCCCCACCCCCTCCCTGCAGTACCAGCAGCTAAAAATATCCCCAGGGATGGTGCCAGCCGTCGCCATGGCAACGGGAGGATGGGGAGCAAGGCTGGGGGGCAGCCCCCCAGAACTGACAGCCCCCCCCAGTACTCCCAGCGCACCAACCCTCCCAGAATGCCCCCAATAGCCCCCCAGCACCCCTCCTGCAACCCAAACACCCCCAGGCCTCTGCACCCCTAGAACACTCCCAGCCCCCCCAAAACCCTCAGTACCCCCAGAATTCCCCAAGGGAACCCCCAAGGCTCAGGAGCAGGGTGAAGACCTCCAGGGGGGCTGGGGTGGGAGCTCAGTCACACCCCCCCCCCCCTCCGCGCTGCTCCGGGGGGGTTTCGCGGCCCCTTAATTCCCCGGTTAATCATTCATGGGGCCGGGGCGCAGCAAATCCCCCCGTGCCGGGGCCGGGATTAAGCGGGCCAGCGGCTGCCCGGGCGGCGAGGGGCCCCGGCGGCGGGGGGGACACCCCGGCAGCGGGGGGGTCCCGCCGGGGGGGAGCCCTATCCATGAGGAGGGATTTCCTGTGCAAGGGGGGGGTCGCTTCCCACAGCTGGCCGTGGAACAGACACCACGGGGGTCTCCAGGCAGGAGGGGCTCTGAGGAGCCCTGCTGGACCCCCCCAACCCCGGCACAGCACCCCCAAACTCCGGGGCAGGGGTGGTGGTGGTGGTGCTGGCAGGGTCGGGGGTGGCAGGGGGTGCTCGGGGGGTCGCAGCTCCCCGGGGTGCCGCGGGGGCGGCCGGCTGGGGGGAAGGCGTCGAAGCCTCGGCGCCTTGGCAGGGAGCCCCGGCACAGCTGCCTCCGGCCCGGGGCCGGGGGGGCCGGAAGGGGCTGGGGCCGTTCCCAGCGCCGGGGGCAAGCGAGGGGCGAGCGGGGGCCAGCGTGAGGGGCTTCCCCTTCCCACGGGGTCAGTGGGGTGGCTGGGAGCTCTGGTGCCGCGTCCTGCCGGGGGGCACATGGCTGCTGACTGGTGTTTGGTGGGGTGTGAAGGATCTGATCCGGGATAGAGGGACACCCCCATGGGGCCGTCCGGACCCCCCAGTTGGTGGTGGGTGCTGCCCCATGGGGGTAGCCAGTGCTGGGGATGGAGGTGCCTGGTGTCATCACCTTCTTGGGGGTCCTGGGGGGCACCACTGGTGACTTGGGGCTATATTTAGTGTTTCTGCCACAGAGCAGCGGGGTGAACTTTAATGAGCGTGTTCCAGCCAACTAGAGCAGCACAGCCCCTCTAAATCCCAAATCCCCTCAGATCAGGGTCTGCCACAGGGCACAAGGTCCCCACTCTACTGGGGCAGTGCAGAGACCTGTGGTGGCACTGGGGGAACCTCAGTGGGGACGGGGAGCTGGTGATGAGCGCGAGAAGCGCCTGTCTGTGTGCTCCAGAGAGGCCACAGGCAAACTCCAGCTCTGCCTCAGTTTCCCCAATGGGATAGAGGCTGTCAGGCAACCTCAAGCAGGGGGATCTGGGGACATGAGGTGGTGTTGAGATGGCTGAGCCCCATAGGCTGGGGGCAGGCGAGCTCAGCCACAGCCTTATCGCGGGCAGACGGCTGCGGGGGGCCGTGGCCGAGCCGTGTTTGCTGAGGATAAAGTGTACGGAACAGGCGGGGAGGGACGGGGGGGCCGTCACGCTGCTGCTGCCCCGCCACGCTGGGACCGCCAGCCGTGCGGATGAGGGCCCCAGGGTGACCCGGGGGGCCAGGGGATCGATGGGGGCTATGGGGACCACCGGCCTGTGGGGACCGGGGGCAGCAGGAGGTCCATGGGTTCTGTGGCAGTCCCAGGTGTCGCTCTCCTCCATCCGCTGGGTACCCCCATCCCCTGGCGACCACCTTCCCCTGGGGACTCGCATTACCTGGGGACCACCATCCCCTGGAGATCCCCGGGTAGCACTGCCCCCTTGTTGTCCCCATTCTGAGCAGCACCGTGCCCTGACAGCCGCTGGCCCGTGGGGACCCCCCCCTCACCTTCCCTGGGTGTTGCCTGCGCTCCCCAAGTGTGGGAAACCATCCCCTGGGTACACCCCTCCCAAGGAAACCTTCATCCCTTGGAGACCCTCCTCTCCTAGAAGCCTTCATGCCCGGGAGACCCCCATCCCCCTCATCCCCTGGGTATCACCGCACCGCCCGTGCAGCCCAGGGAGGGGGGTACCCAGGGGGCTGGGGGGTGGGGGGCGGCCAGACTGAACCCCCCGGGGGTCCCAGGGCCGAGCTGCGGGGCTCCGGGCGGGGATGAGGGGGGCGGCAGAGCCGCTTTAAGCCCGGGCATGACGGGACGTGTAGTCCGGGGAGGAAAAGGGGGGGCTGGGAGCACGGGCTGCTGGGAAGGGGGTGGGGTGGCACGGCCGGGTCGGTGGGCGACCCTCAGCGCCCTCCCCAGTGATCCCCCCCGGGCTCCCGGTGCCGCCGCCATCCCCAGCCCCACGGCGGCTCCGGGTCCGGCCCCACAGCGGGGTACGACCCCCGTTGTTCCCCGTCCCACACATCCCCCGGGGGGCGCAGGGGCAGGGCCCCCCGACGTGCGGGTGTCCTGCGGGATTGTCTCCTGCCCGGGGCGGTGTGGATCTGAGGGGGACCCCCGTGTCTGGTGTGTGCCCCTCCCCGGGCCGGGCTGGGCATCCGGGGTGTGGAGCTGCCCCTTGCCTCGTGGGCACTGTCACCAAGCCCCATGGGGACTGTCCCAGATCTCCTTGAGCATCATCTCCACCCCACCGCCACCCAGCGAGGGCACCGTCCCAGCCCTTCCTGGGTGCTGTCCCCAAATCCTGTAGGGTCACTGTCACTATCACAGCATCGCCGTGGGCACCGTCCCCAGCTCCCTGCGGGTGCCGTGCCCTGCCCTCGTGGACACCAGGTTGTCACTGTCACAGCATCCCCGTGGGTGCTGTTCCCAGTGCCTGTGGGTACCATCCCCGCCCTGCCACGGGCATCCCCCTGGGCCTCCCTGGGCACCGTCTCCGGTCCCCCTTCGGTACAGCCCGCCACGCGGTGGTCGCCATCCCCCGTCCCTGTTGTCACTGTCACGACATCCCCGTGAGCACCGTCCCAAACTCCTGTGGGCACCAGCTTCACCCCACCACGAGCACCGCCCCAGGATCCCGGGGCCCCAAACTCCCGTGGGCACTGTCCCCACCTCCCCGTGGGTGCCGTCCCCAACCCCCGTGGCCACTTCCCCTAGCCCCCCCTGCACACAGCCCCCCACCCTGTGCTCACCACCCCCCGTCCTCGTTGTCGCTGTCACCACATCCCCGTGGGCACCGTCAGGGCTGCCACCACGCACCCTGCCACGGCCACCATCCCCACCCCGTGATCCCCGTGTGCCTCTCTGCCCACCCCGGTGTCACCCTCCCGCGGTCCGCCCGGACCCCGCCGCTCCCCCGTGGGTCCCCACGCGGGGCCGGGCGCGGCGGGTGCAGGGAGCGGCTGCGGCCGGCGGAGGGGGCTGCGGCCGCGGCGGAGCGGAGCGGGCGGGCGGCGGGGCCGGGGGAGGGAGGAGCCAGCGCCGTTCGTCCGCCGCCGCCGCCGCCGCTGCGCCCCGCTCCGCTCCGAGCCCCGCACCGCCGCTCCGAGCCCCGCTCCGCACCCCGCACCGCCGCTCCGCGCCCGCCGCCGTCGACCTCAGGTACGGCCCGAGCGGCCCCGCCGGCCCGAGCGGCCCCGCCACCCTCCGGTTGTTTACCGCCGCCCCCCCCGGGCCCCCCCGGCTGAGCACGGGCTCAGTTCGGTGCGTGGAATGGGGGGCTGGGGGGCGATCGGGTCGGGAGGCTCGGGACCCGCGGAGAGCTCGGGGGCCGCGAACCGCGAGGAAAAAACACGGGGAGAGATTTTTTTTTTTTTTTTCCTTGGAAAATCCGGGCGTTTGGCGTGGGGCGGGGGGGCCGCGTTCCCCCGTGGGGGGCGGGGGGGGGGCACCGCGCCCCCCATCCCCACCGCACCCGCCGCTGCTGCATGCGGGGCACGGCGCTGCCCCCCGCCCGCCACGCCACGCCACGGGGGCAGCCCCCCCCCGGTGTGGCCCCCCGGCCCCGCGGCCCCCCCGTGGCCGTGGCGTGGCGGCGTGGCGGGGTCCGGGCCGCGGCGTGGCTCTGCGGTGATGGGCGCGGGGCCGCGCCGTGGGCAGGTCGCGGGGCCGGGCCGTGGGCAGGCCGTGGCCCTGTCGCGGCGGGGGGGGGAGAACCGTGGACGGCCGGGCCGTGACGGTGCCGTGGAGTGTCCGTGAGGGCTTTAGGGGCCCCTGTGTCCGCTCCCCCGCACCCACTGCGCAGGGCTGCAGGAATGCTGCGATTTTTTAATTTTTAAAATTTAAAAATATTTTTTAAATTTTTTTTTTTTTTTTTTTTTGC